AGTGAAATGCCGTTGAATTGATAAAACTGCTGCGGTTTCTACGTAGACTCTAGTACTTAGGTTACGAACACCGTTTGCAAGTTCCGATCGATTCCGTGCTTTTCGTTTTCCGTTTTTCTTTTTCTATTCTTGATCTCCATGTGATCATTACAGACGGTATTAGATTGATTTTGTTGATACAATTCCTCTGGTGGACTGAAGAAGTCATCGTACATCTTCTTTGGAGTTGGTCTTGTTGACTTGCCTTTCAATGTAGAGGCGTCAGGTCCAAAGATGAAGAACTCAGCTGAGTGATTGTGCTTTTGAGTGTCTTCTTTGTCGTCCTCAATCTGTACTGGTGCTGAACTTTTGTTCTTGTCCATATTGAGGTCGAAAGTCATTGGTGTTTGACGCATTGGAGGTCCAGGATCATCTTCAGATGGTTCAGATTCTCCCTCTTGATGGGAAGTTGGTGTAGTGATTTTGTCATTGTCATGCTCGTCATCACTGACCATCGCTGCCTCCATTGCTGTAGGTGCTTCAAAGTCCTCTTCAAAGAGGTCGTCTTCCTGTTTGGCTTTGGCGCATTGGGCACAATGGGCATAGAAGTTGTCAAACCCTGGTGCCAAATCGAAGATAAAAACATTTTTTTTGGGTCAACTGCAATGGTTTTTTGATACTGTACAGAGCTTGCCTTCTGTTGATGAATTTTCCAAGGCCTTGAACTTGGGAGGTATGCTGTGGGCTCAGCAATCTCATCTTGCCTGAATTACGTAGAATGAATTTGGGATTCAGAATGTGTGTTCCTTTCCATCATCATCTAACCATTTCCAAACCAGTGTTCCAGCCATGACATCAATGGTCTTCCTGTTGCCAAAGCCCTTGATGACATGCTGTGTTTTTGCAGATCTTTGCAGTGGTAATCCTTGTCAGAGATGCAGAAGGAGCAGCGGCTGTGGATGCTGATTGGCAGTATTGAATCGGTGTTGAAGCGAGCTTGATGGTGTGTTCCTCCCTCTGACTGAGTGCGGTGTGCCAATACTGAGTTGGCAATGAGCGCTCGTTGGATTTCTTGTGGGATTTGAGAGCGTTGGATGCAAGACATCCACTTATAAGACATCCACTGATAGCTAGACTTGCGAGTCCGGAGCTGTCAGTGGAGCTTGAGTCGGGTAAGTAAGTTTTGGGAGGTACTTTCCCTAACCTCTTTATTCCATTTTCTTCCTGTGAGTCCAAACTTCTTGGCTAGTTGTACCCACTTGTATTTGACCCACTTTCTCATCCATGCATACCGTGTCCACCTTTGAGATTTGGGAACATGGTACAGCACAGAGTCATCACGGGGCCATCCAAAAAGAACAACGCAAAGTGTTACAGCTGTGGCAAGGAGGTAGAGCGGGAGGCGTTTCCACCAATTAGCAATCCACTGAGACAGCAGACCCCACCAAAGCCACAGCCAAACAACATCCACCCTTGAGTGCTCTTGAGGAGCTCTCATTCTTCATTGGTATCAGAGTCGGACGGGACGTAATCCTTGGCCATGGCGGCTCTGAGCTGGATCTTGTTCTTTTTGTTGTCTTTGTTTTGGTCTTGGTTGGCTGAGGATGGCTTGTTGACTTTCCAATGGATTGCTTGGATGGTCTTGGCCCATTCCAACAAAATCGTCCACAAATACTTCCATCTTTTTTCAATGGGCGCTGGTGAGTCAGTGGCTGGTGGGATTTTGGAAATTTTTTTCTGACAACTTGTGTGTCCCTCGCTTCAAAGTCAGTGATGGCCGCTGCTTTACCCAGCAAGGGATGTGGTGGCACTCGCTTGTTTTGTTGCAAGTCAAGATTTGTCAAGTCAGCGATAGTTTCCATGAAAGCACTGAACCAAGACTTTCTGTCCAACTCATTGGAAGCACAAGTGGCAGTGCGAGGAAAATGACCTCAAGCTTGATTGCACCAGGAGTTGACAATTGGATGTGGCAGAAACCATTCAACATGTTGTTCTTGAACATGGAAACGGGCCCATAGTCTGGGTTTGCAATCATGAGTGCGTTGCGGATGGGTAGTGGGGCCATGCTGAATTCCACAGCTCCCTCTCCGGCAGGTTTCATCTTCTTGTTGTTGGGTCCCCCGAATGAATAATCAACAATCATCCAAGGTCTTCTATTGTGGAACGCAGCCAATTGGAGAAAAGCAAAGTTCTTTCTTGTCCTTGACATCATTATATGGAAGTTGGATCCAAAATCCCTTCCTCCCAAAATCCAAAAACTCCTCCATCATAATCCCTTTGAATTTGTTCGCTGACAAGTGACAGCCCCCAGCTACTTGCATGTCAAGTTGGCTCTGACTCCGTGGCTCCAAATGAACCATAACAGGAGCCTCATTCTTCAGTACTTGGTATAGCATAGGTGCGGCAGGGTGTGGAAGCTATCATCTGAATGGAAAAAACAAGCAGTGATTTTCCAACCGTGTTTTAAAAATAAGTTTCATTAGCCAACACAACCAGCTAACCTATAGTATTAGCACTACCTCCAATTCAAGTAGATTGTAGGGGTGTTCTTCGTTCATGTCATGGTTTTTTACTTTCCTTCTCTCTCTTCAGATGACTCTTGGTCTTTTCTCCTGATCCACCAGCTCCCCCAGGGTCCTTTCATCTGACAAACAAGTTGGACTCTGGTAAGCTTCCTCCATGGTAGCATGTCTCTGCATAGGTGCCCAAGTCAGATAGGTTTTCAAGCAGTTATCTTTTTGCTTGTCAACCAATAATTGCTCTTATTGTAATGGTTGATTGCATTTGCATTTTTGTTGTGCTGGAAACAGACACTATTGTAGAAACATGTTTAAACATTCCATGACAGAAATAAATGAAAATAGACCATAAGCCTATAGTTGACTAGTTTCTACAAGTTGATCGTTATCAATTCAAGTAAAAAGCATTCAGTGAGGGTTGGACAATCCTCGCTTGTTTCATGCAGAATATTACGCACGATTGCGGAACCTGCCACGTCGGTTCTTTCTACAATAATATCACTGGCTGTGAATGGTCTGCGCACGTACAATACGTACAAAGCACAGACTTCACTTCAACCGTGAATAATCATGGTCTGGGTCACGAATCCCGTTCCTGATAGAATTCTGTCACTCCCCAAATGGGATGAAGTGACCTATCCCTCGTCAATGGTGTCTCCTTGCCAGAACAGTAAGGTTCGGAGCTGCGGCCAAACTTGTTGATATCCCCAATGTTTGCTGAGGATGTCTGCAGGGTTCTTGTCACCATCCATGTGAATGAATGAAAGCTTGTTGGATGCAACAGCTTCTCTCACACGGTGGAATGACAGTGCATCATGGCGCTTGTGGAGTTTTGCGTCGGGTCTGGATGAACTGTTCACGACAGATTCATTGTCTCCAAACATGTAGCTTCGACCTTGGATTGGTACTCCGAGATATCTCAATGTGTATCGCAGATCCATGATCTGTTCAACACAAGTCCTTGCAGCAACAAATTCAGATCCGTATGTGGCAGTCTCAACAGTAGATTGCTTCTTAGAGAAAGCGTCAATTGGAGTCCCATTGATCAAATGCAGGATACCTGTAACTGAGCGTCCTGTTAACATACAGTGATACAGACTTGCATCCACATATTGTGTCAGAATCACAGCAAGTCCAAGTGGTGTTGGTGCATCATCTGGGATCTCTTCAACTGGGCATCCATACACCGAGTCTGCCCATTCATAGATAGGTTCAGGGACATCAGTATAGTCAGGCATTCCAGTCCTGAAGCGAATGCAAGCGTGCTTCATCTTCACTAGGTATCCACAAATTCGTTTCACTCTGTGGAGGTGTCCTACTCTAGGGGCAGAACGAAAGCTTGACATGGACATGACAGCGGTCGCTATGTCCAGTCTCCCCAAGGAAATGGCCCATTGAAGCTGGCCAACCAGAGATTGGTATTGGGTGACGCCCTCTGGATCCAATAGATCAGTGGTATCACACTCAGGGTGGTCTCCCTTCTCCAAAGGCGAGGTTACATTTGTCTTTGGTTTCTCTCCATAAATGCGCTCGTAGTTGTCTACCATGCGCTCGATGTATTTCTTGGGGCTCATGTAAAGAACGCCATGTTCGTCCCTTCCAAAATCACATCCCAGGTGGAAAGTGAGTGGTCCGGTACCTTTAAGCTTGAATTTGTAGAAATTGATCAGTTTATCCACAAAAGCTTTTGGGTCTTTCATTACCATGGCCAGATCATCAACATATACTCCAACATATTCATATGACGACCCGTCTGGTAACGGTCTCATCCAGATGTCCGGTTCTGCCTTGCAAGGAAAGAACCCTTCCTCTCTCAAACAGGCAGAAAATCTTTGATGCCACATTTTTCCGCTCAAATGTAATCCGTACAGTGCTCTCGACACAATAAGAGTGTGGCCTTGTAGCTCCCCAAACTCCGGTCCGGCTACTATGGCTACCTTTTCCTTAGTGTAGGCCTCAAGGTAGGCATTACCAATATCTGTGGCCCATAGGTCCAGGCCATTCAATTCAGCAAGGAAGATCATGATCTTCAGTCCACGTATGGATACCACACCAGAGTAGACACTGTCTACTGGCACATCGGTCAGGTGCCCATCAGCAACAAGTCTGGCCTTGTGTCTACCATCATGTTTGCAGGCGTAGACTAGGTGAACTCAAATCTTTTGGAAACCCTTTGGGATAGGAGTTCCTTTTCCCAAATCTATAAAAACCTTGTACTGGATGATCAGGTCGAAGTGGTCCTTGATGTGACACAATTCGCTTGAACTTCCAAACAATTGGATTATCTTCATCAGCTTCCAGTCTCTCCAAAATCTCATTGTAGGCCATCACATCTTCATACTGG